AATTTAGATAAAATTTTTAATAATTTTAATATTTGTAAGCCTTTAAAAAATTAACCATAAATATAAGTATAAAAAAAGGAATGTCATCTTATCTTTAGCTCTCTTTGTTACTCTTTCAAATAATTCTGTATCTTTTAAAATGCAACGCGTTGCAGGTGAAATATATATGAGCTCTTTTGTTGTTTTGAACAAGATAACAAAAGTTGCACTAAAGTAAATGCTATTTACGGAAATAACTTTTGAAAAGCTTGTCAAAAAAAAGGGCTGGAAATAAGTATATAGAGACTTTGTACATTTTTAAAATACAAATACTTTGACGTGAAAGAGAGATAGAGAGAGAGAGAGAAAGAGTACAATGCACCGATTATATATACATGGAATGTATTAATATTAATAACAGAATTCAAAAACCTCTCTCAGTGTAATGTTAACCGTTATACTTTGAAAGGTGAGGCTACAGTCATTACACGTCTGTCAGTCTCATTTATCGATGACAAGACATCGTGTCTCTTTCTTTAATTTCTCTGATAAATCGCTACTGCATTGCTAAAGTGGAAAAATTCCTTGTCATCGAGTAAATTCATTTAAATTTATTTTCATTTGTTTTGAATATATAATAACAGACTGAGAATATGTAGATGATATGAAAAGGAAAATGAATAATGCATTTTTTTTTTTTTTTTTCATCTTTTTTTAAGACACTTATGAGAAATTGCCTAAAAACATATAGTTTATACCACCTTGAACGATCATGGAATTATATACAACGTGGTCCATAATTCGTATTATGTCTATTATCATTACCATACACACGATATTAATGAGTCACTGCGACCAAGTAGCAGCCCACTCGCATATTTTAATGATACGATTATTATTATAAAAGGACTGTGGGAACATAGTCTTATATTATAAACACTAAATGGACTAGAATTTAATTCACGCAAAGATTATTGTTAAAAGATTCTTTTATTATAAATTAACTTTTTTTCATACTTGTTTTCTAAGATGAAAACGCATATTATAGAATTTTTTTACTCTTTAAAAAGTCAAAGTTGAAGGATTTAGAATTTTGCGAAAAAAAAAATGTTTTTTTTAGAGTTTCGTGGCTCAGGCCCGAAAGCCTTTTACGCAGTTTTGCTTTGGCGTCCGTCCGTCCGTCGTACACTTGCATATGGTTACTATAGCGACCGTTTCCATAGCAACTGTTTCCGTAGCAACCGTTACCATAGCAACCGTTACCATGGTAGTTAACGTTACCTTAGCAGGCCAAGAAACCGTGCAATGGAGGCGCCATGCGTCTGCTTATCTCATATTTATAATATTAAAATTGTAATGAAAATCAAAAGAAATAAAATGACGCGGATAGAACGAGTAAAATTACTAGGTTGTTTGTAAAGAACATTATAATATTATTATAAATTAAAATTCACCATTTTATACGGAACACACGAGACAGAGTATAAAAAGATATATAAAATGTTTTATTTCTCGAGAATTAGCATATACTTTAACCCAACTCAACGGACGCATCTGTCTCACTCACTCTTTTTTTTAGTATAGTCGCACACTGACCCAGAGGCTGTCGGAGGCCCTCTTTTCTAAATACAAGAGATAATTAAGACATCACTGTGGCACTTAAGTCTATATATCTGATTTACTATTCGTGTCTCACAAACAGCTACTGACTCAAATAATCTTTTAGTATTTCTTTTTTTCTACTATATGTATCTTCTTCACTTTAATCTACTTTCAAAGATTTCTTTCCTGATAGTTTCAACATTTCTTCTGATAACAAAGTGTTTAGTTTTTTTTTTTAATTTTCTATTAATTGGGATACTTTTACTTGTTAGCGAAAAAATAAAAATAAATTGATTTTACATCATTTATCATCAAATCTGCAAATAGCACTACAAAATGGTTGGAAAATATTTCAATCCGTTTAGTACACTCTACTATGCATCTTGTAAATGTTACTACCCTCTTAGTATAATTTACAATACATATTCTAATTTTTCAAACCGTTTAGAAGAATTTACTATGTATATTGTAATTGTTACGACCCTCTTGTAACAATTTACAATACAGATTGTAATTTTCACCATGGGTTTAGTACAATTTACAATACAGATTGCCATTTTTACAATCCGTTTAGTAAATTTTTCAATACAGTTTGTAATCTTAACAATTTATTTAGTATAATTTACAATACATATTGTATTTTTTTCAATACGTTTTGTACAAGTTACAATACAGAATGAAATTCTTACAATGCGTTTAGTAAAATTTACAATAGGGGAGACCGAGGCTGTTTGGCGCAGGGGTTGCTTGGCGCACTTGAGTTTATTCGAAAGTGTTAAGTTACATTAATTTTTCTCTTTATTCTGCTTAAAGTATTTGATGAACTGTAAGTTTGTACAAAATTTCATTAATAATCATTAATTATTGTGGAGTATAGATTAAAATAACTGATTTTGGCACTCCAATGTAATTTTTTAACCTCTTCATTTCTTTGTGATTTCTCTTTAAAAAATTAATTTTAGAAGAGCTCAAATATTAAGTTTTGAGCTCTATACATTTGTTATTAAGAAACAAAAAAAAAATTTTTTCATTTATATTAACAGTTTTTATAAAAAATTAATAAATATTTCAAAAGTACATTCGGGGTTAGGTGGCGCGGTTATCTGAAAATTTCGTTAAATATTAATAAAATGAAGTTGATTATATGAAATTTACATATTAATAAGCACCAATAACAATCCTATTCAAAAAATTTAACCGAATAATGGTTTTTAAATATTTACAGCGTTATTATAAAAAAAAATATATATTTTTTGGTAATTTTACGATTTCATTTAATTTAAATGAAATTTTCTAATTTTTAAATTTAAAATAATTTTATTGTAAAATTACAGTACAAGACTTATTTTGTTAAGTCTTATATTATTTAAACTTTAAATCATATAATTTAATTTTAATTTCAATCCTGCGCCACGCAACCTCGGGCCGGGGTTGCTTGGCGCGCTTTGCATAGGTAGGTAAAAGAAATTTTTAAAAGTAATTTTTAAGAAAATTTAAATAATTTTGAGGTTAGGGGCCATTCATTAATTACGTAAGGACGATTTTGGCTAATTTTGACCCCCCCCCCTACCCCCATGTAAGGATACATAAGATTTTTCAGACCCCCCCTCCCCCTTCTTACGTAAGTTTTTAACAATATTAATGTAATTAAAAAATTAATTACATCAATACAAATGGAAAATACTTGGCAAAATCTTACGTAAGATTAGCTTCTACCCCCCACCCCCCCACGTAAGACCATGTAGAGATTTTATAAACCCCCCCTCCCCCTAAGGACCCTTACGTAATTAATGAATAGCCCCTTATGCTATTTAAAAATTTATTTTATTACGATTTTTATTTATTTTAATTTATTATTTGAAAATTTATTTAAAATAAATTTTCAAATTTAATGAATTATATGTTTTGCGCATAAAAATATTATTAAAAATAGATTTAGTTGATTTATTCAAAAAAAAATTAAAAATCAATTTCAATTTATTTATACTCAAATAGATGTAAATAATGGAATAACAAATTTTATTCCTTTTAATTTTATAGATTATATATCTATGACATACAAATTAGATGATTGCATTTTTATTATTTCAGAGTTCTTTTTAAGATGATATTTTCTTCTTAAAATAAGAGTATCCTCTTAAATTAAGAGGAATAATTTTACATAGAGGACAATCCTCTTAAACCTAGAGGACATCCTTTTGCAACATATACTAGAGGAAAATATGCATTATTGAAATAAGAGCACGGAGAGAAATAGATGGTAAGAACTTATGATCTTAAGATGGTAAAAAGTAGATGTTATCCGGTACTATCATTAAGCTACTCGGTACTATCAAAGATATTACAAAAAGTATGGTTATGTTACCTACTACAATCAAGATGTTACTTTGTACAATCTGGATTGTAACTGATAGAATTTAGATTGCTGTCCGTATATGTAAGATCAAATATGGTACCTGGTACTATCTAGATAGTACCCCGTACCATCTATTTCTTTCCGTGAGGAATCCTCTTGAAACAAGAGGATTTTTTTTTCGGTGCGGTCTCCCCTACAGACTGAAATTTTTACAATCCCATTTTAGTACTATTTACAATTTATATTTTAAATGATATCAATTTTCTTTCTTATTTTTTGCATAAAATTGATCTAAGTCGAATTTGGAGACGCTGCTATTTTTTTTTTTTTTTTTTTTTCATTGGAAATAAAACTACTATGTATAAAGACATTGAATGAAAGTTGCTTCGTAATGTTGGTGAAGTAAAATATTAAGTGAGAAATAAAAGGAGTAAGAAATAGCGAAACTTGCGGGTGAGAATAACATTGTTGATCGTAAAAGGACTTAAGGCAGGCAATCGGAAGTTGGCAAACGGCAGTGGTCGGTTGACCTCGGCGGGTAATAAGAATAAATGTGATTCTATTACGGTTCAATTGTTACGGCGCTAGATGGACCGGTCACTGAGAATGGACCTAGGGTAGATGATCGCGACTGATAGGATCTCTGATCTGCTCTTTGTCGGAACAATTTTATTCTAAGAATTTACTCTCACTCTCTACTTTTTTTTTTTTTGTAAACTTTATAGAAAATCAAAATTCATTTTGAAAACTCCCTTAAAGTTTAAAAAGTTACTTATTGAATTCTTGATAATAAGAATCACTGTAAAACGAGAGATATTAATTTAATACCAATTTTGGGTACTAAATTGCCTTTTGGTTCTATTTTAATACCTAAAATCGGTATTATTTTAATACCTTCTTCTTACAGTGATAATTTAATTTATCAATTGATTAATAGTATATAGAAATTGATATATTATGAACAAGTAAAAACGTGATTTTGAACTATTTTTATTTAAAAAATAATGTTTTTTTTTAAAAATAAATTAATGCAAGAAGCATGCCTAATAATTAAAGTACTCACCGTGCGTTGACTGAAGTGGGATTGCCAACATCATCCATTGAAGGTTTCCTAGAATGAAACCACGAATCACATTCGTTATTGTTCGTTTTCAAGTGCATTAAAGCAGAATGAACATTATACGAATTGTATAAATTACTAGTTTGCCACATTTTATTACAAATTTCAACATCCATATTCAATTTAATCAATCACTGTGTTTATAAAATTATTCCATAACTGGATATTTAAAAAAAAAAAAGATTTTTATCTCACATGTCATGACAAAAATTGCATCCCTTTTTTTTGAATGGATATAATTTTTTTGTTAAAAACAAATTTGGGAGCACGCAGTTTTTTTTTTTAAATGAACATATCCTGTCACAGACGTGAACACGGCAACAACAACTTGAATGTAGTGTAGAATTTTGAGACTAGGGGTTGGTTTTCACCCCCCCTCCCTCTTTCTACTTTCAAAGGTTACAGATTCATCCCCTCTTTGAAAGTTTTTGGTAATGCGCGCGCCCCCTTTTATTTATACCCTCCTTCTGTTTCTGATCTCGAAAACCAAAACATATACACTCTTGCGGTGTGCTGTTGCGGGGGATGTTCTATCTTCATTTGTGCGCGAGGACGGTATCGCGAGCAGGAAACCCTGTCATGAAAATAAAGTGTCGTATCGCGTTTTATATAATGTCGAGAGTATTTTGTATATACCCTTACGCACAAAATACGACATATACCCTAAACCTCTTCCTCTCTCATGCATACAGTAGACTAATAATAATTCGCATCCAGGTCGGGAGATCATCGATTAGAACCAAGAACCGATTATCTTGTATATAAGTAACCCCTCCTCTTATAGGATTCTGTTTCAGATTTATTTGTCTGATTGGTCGTGGTAAAGGAGCAATATATCGATTTATACAAATTTAGAATTTTTATATATTTTAAAGAGACGTTAGAGGAAAAAGAAAACTCTCAAGTTCATAAAAAAAAAAAAGATTATCGGCGATTATATCATATAAATATTATTGGTTCGAATTTTTATTTTAAAAAATTTTATTAGATATATAATTTTTTTGTAGACAAATTTTCATTTTTCAAATTAGTATTTGACAGAATTTATTTTTTAACCAATTTTTACACATAACTTTTAGGTGATTTTTATTCAACAGAATTTTTATATTTGTCCGAAATTGACGAATGGCCAAATAAACAATCGACAGAATGATTTCGGCGCGATTTTTAAAATTCACCAATCACGATTTTCTTGACAATTTCTGATTGGTGAATTTAAAAAATCGCGCCGAAATCATTCTGTCGATTGTTTGTTTGGTCATTTGCAATTTCAGAGAAAAATAAAAATTCGGCGTCTTAAGAATTCGTAAAATATTATATAGATTCTATAGCATATGATTTTGAATCAATAATTTTTATGCCTTTGGCAGAAATGCTGTTGATTCAATAGCATATTTTTCTCAATGTAGTAATTTATCTAACTTTGAGGTTACGTTAATCGATTTTAATCTCAAAATCAGCGGCCTTCTGACCTAGAAATTAACCTACTTTTGAGGTTATGTTAGCCTATTTTAACCTCAAAACCAACGTCCTTTTGACCTATGTCCTTATACTCAGAGAAATGGTATATGAGTAGTTAGTACTCATTTATTTGTTGCAAATATATTTCATTTCATTGAAATAAAAAATTTATTTGAGCCAAAGAAAAATTTATTTCTGACAAATAAAATTTTTATTTACGCCAAATAAATAAGTTAGTAGGCTCTGAGACAAATATACGTTTATTTAACTCAAATATATTTTATTTGGTTCAAATAAATCATTTCTCTGGGTGTAACATTTGACCTTTAGTTATGAGATTATTTTTGCATGTTGAGCCTTACTTATCACCTAATTTTGAGGTTATATTTTCAGTTTTGTTAGTATTTTGGCCCTGAACATTAAGTCATATGTCAAGCGACCGTTAGAGTCTTAGATTTAACATAACCTCAAAATAAGTTCAAAGTTTAGGGTCAAAATACTATGAACAAATCAAAAGAACGATGGGTTTGAGATTAAAATCGGCAAACGTAACCTCAAAATTAGGTCAATTTTAGAGTTGAGAAACCGAACATAACGTCAAAATTCAAGGTAAGATTTTCAGTTCTTATCCACATAGCACCCAAAATTCTCTGAAACTTGACAGAGCCTCACATGGCGAGGTTAGGAAACTTCAGTGGCAAGGTTCATACAAGTTTGTGTTGATGTTTAAATCGATCCACATGAAAAGAATATTTACACGAAACTTTGAGGAAATATTACACTGTAAATATTCACGTGCAATGTTCAGTTAATGTTGTGTCAATATTCACCTATACTTATTATATATTAGTAAATGAAATTTTTATAATTAGGCGAAAATGTAATTTCAATATTGCAACAACATTGCACGTGAATATTTATGTGTAATATTTTCTCAAAGTTTCGTGTGAATATTCTTTTCATGTGGACATTTAAATATCGACACAAACTTGTATGAACCTTGCCACTGAAGTTTCCTAACCTCGCCATATGTGAGGTTCTATCAAGTTTCAGGGAATTTTGTGTGCTTTGTGGGTATATCCCAGAAGTTATAATTAGAAAACATAACCTTAAAATTAGATTAAAATTTAGAACTAAAAGCATTAAAGAATTTTTTAATTAAATATAAAAATTCTTTGAAATAAAAATTTGAGTTTCACGCATACAATAAAAAATAATTGCATATTCTTTGCGCCTTTTGAGAAAAGCCGATTACGTATTTCGCGACGACGATGGACCACTAACAAGTATAGAGAAGAAAAATATATATAACATTTTGTTATACTCGTTTCTGCGTTAACTCGAAGAGTTTCTTTTTTTGGGTTTTGTGGACGATGATACGAATTAAGGGACCGCTGGGACTGTTACTGATTCAAAAAAATGTTGGTCTTCTCATCCCCCCTTCTCTCTCTTTCTCTCTCTCTCTCTCTCTCTCTCTCTCTCTCACTCTACACTGGAAGGAGAAGAGTATCGTGTGCGATACGGAAGAGGAATGCAGAGCGAAGACGCGGTTTAGCACATTTTTTAGATCGCGGGAATGCCGGCGCGAGCTATTGCGATTGTTTCTTATGTTGAATCGTTAGCCTCCACAAGCAGCAAAAGATTCCTTGAACGAGATCTGAATTAATGAATGGATTTCGTTCTAGTTTCTTTCAAAATGTCCTTTTTCTATCCAAAAGGAAGAAAAAACCAAAAAAAAAATGCAATTTCTTTTTTAATAATTTGCAAATTTTATTATCAAAATAAAGTACATTTTTTTCTCAATTTACAACACAGATGGTAATTTTTTTTTTTAATTCGTTTAGTAGAATTTACCATGCATATTGTAATTGTTACAACTCTGTTAGTACAATTTACAATACAGATTGTAATATTTACAATGCGTTTACAACTTACAATACAAATTGTATTTTTTTCAATCCCTTTTTCTTACAATTTTCCATGTATATTGTAATTGTTACAATCTTCTTAGTAAAATTTAAAATACAAATCGATTTTTTTTGTACATTCCTCTTCAATTAAGAGGACATATTAATGAAAACATTCTTCTTAAAATCTTCTCAATAATAATTTTCATCTTGTTTTATTAAACTAAATAATATAATGTCAACAAATACAAATTTTCTTTCTGCTAACTAAATAAAATTTATGCATTTTTTGAAATGAATCCAATTTTTATTTGAATTAACCAAACCTTTTAATTGTTTCAAACAAAAATGCGTCAATTAAACCTTTTGTTTAAGTAAAATAAACATTTTCTCTATGTGTAATAAGTTTATTTACTCTCTAAATCTGAATTAGTCATTTTTGACTAATTCACAGTCATTTTTGACTAATTCACAGTCATTTTTGACTAATTCACAGTCATTTTTGACTAATTCAAATAGGGCGGATTCGTTTACTGTGAATTAGTCAAAAGTTACTAATTCAATCTGTAACTAATCTACCACTAAATGAATTAGTAGTTTCAGTTTCTAGATAGGTATACATAGGTAGATAAAGTAGGTAATGTAGACGTATTTATTTTGAAAATAGACAAAAATTATTGCTTAAAAAATAGGAAACGATTATATTTTGTTTTTATATAGTTTAAATAACGTGAATCAATAAAAAAATCTATTTATTTCATTTTCGAAATTATTCTGCGATAATTACTGGTGGGAGATGTCACTTAGGATTTGAACCTATTACCTTGCCTTCTACCTTAGGAGCTGCGCCTTGACGCGCTCAACCAAAGGAGGTTATGAAAATTCGTTACAAAATGTCTCTTATAAGCAAATTGATATAAACTCATTGTCAAATCGCTAATAAATAAGGTAAAGTCGATTTGTTTTCTATACAAATTTAATTATTATATAAATTTGTAATTAGAGTCTTATAAATGTGCCAATATTGATTTAAATTTGTTAATTAAATTAATTAACATTAACATAACAACAATAGTTTGGAGTGTTTTTTGGCCATCTATACAAACATTTGAAGAACTGAGTTTGAACACATTCAATTTGATCAAAATATCAATATCATCATTATTAATATTATATTACTAAATTAATTATATGTCAATTTTGGTAAACATAACCTACAAAACCTAACTATTATGTCTGGACATAAAGAAAAATAAATATTTTTTTCATAATTACTTAATAGAAAATAATTACTTGTGCATTTGTTGTATAATAAATTAAAAAATTTTCAATTAAGCTATTTTTGCTTATTTTGATGTATGCACATATCATGATTAACAAATTAGAAGAAAATCTCTACAATTCATTTAGTCATTAAAAGTGACTATTTTTTTAGTAGAAAAAGCACTACTAATTAATTCAGTAATGAAAAGTGACTATTTTTTTAGTAGAAAGTGATGAAACAACTAATTCATTAGTAAAATATGGTGTTACTAATTCAATTAGTAAAATTTTGACTAATTCATATTTAGAGAGTAGTTGAAATTTTGTTTTCTATTTTTAAAATCGAGAATTATTGTGACA